CCGGAACAAGAAGGAAGCAGGCTGCTGGAGTCTGAACAGTGAGTGAGTGAAAACAAGAGAGAGAAAGATGCCCCTGCTCTCTTCCTTCGCCTAACCTCCTAGTCAACTTGTTTCTCCCTGTAATCACGCTACGCGCAGAAAGACGGCCGGCCGCCCGCCAAGTATTCGCGGAAGCAGCGCTGCCAGATCCGGAGTGGGGAGCGCTCTCCTTTGTGGTTTAGAGCTATCATGGCTGCCATGTGGAATTGACTGACTAGCGACGGGGACAGGCTGGGAAGTTGTGGCTTTACGATTTGATTTGATTTTTTCTTGCTCTCGAGGGGTTGGTGGCTATCGTCTGCTAGCGTCCGCCCACTCAGAGCTTCCACTCGAACTGGGGATGTTCATCCGCTCATCGGTGCGATCGCCCTATTCGGGATGCAAAACCCGTCGATTTCGTTACAGTAGCAACGAGCAACGGAACAAGTTTGGTGGATGGGGGGAAGGACAGACGTGGTCAACCGTCAACAAGTGTTCTTCATCTCGTTTCAACCCCGTAAAGTCGCTCCTCTATCCTCTGAAGCTCGCCTGGGATCGGCTGACTTGCAAGAGGTTGGAGTACAAGCTTGGCTGTTCTGATCGGAAGTGCCATGTGGTTTGTGGCAGGGCTATCCATGAGCGGCCGTCTTCGAGACGATTCTGTGTCGATATTGCTCTCCCTCACTCAATTTACCCTTTTTCTCCCTCTGGAGTTTCTCCTCTCCCCCACCGGGACAGAATTGCTGTGGATACAGACTACCGACCCGACCGTATCCGACCTTCCAGAGGCCGCGTTGACGAAGAGTAAAGACCAAAACTAAAATTGAACCTAAGCTTCCGACGCGGACGGGAAGCAGCAATGCCCGCGTCGTTCGGCGCCTTTCTTCATCCATGGTTCGGAGAATTGTTACCATACTTGGTACGTACGCGCCGCATCGCGATCACGCAAGCCCGCGCGTCCAGCAGCGGCTCTATCGTATCGTGGAAACATGCATGCATATCTACTGTGTAGTAGTGATGGTTACTCCATACGCCGGCAGCCGACTCTTTCGACCAACAGGCCTCGACAAGTTACAGGTCACAACACGTTGCAACAGCAAGGCCCTATCCGCAAGGATCCCAATTCGCCAACTCGGACTTCATGGGGAACTTTGCTTTCTCTCCTTCCTCTCACATGCGTGAGAACATCTCCCATCCCGCGCAGTCATGCAGATCCCATCGGACGTACCATTTTCCTAAAACGGGAGCCGGCCATTGGGGCCCGCTGAGTACCACTCCTTGCCCAGCTTACTTACGGAGACTTGGGTGTTGGAACACTCGTTCAGAGTCTCTTTCTCTCTCACACCCCTGTTCCAACAGCGCCAGCAAAGGGAACAAGGCCTGCTTCGGGCGAAGAGTCGCAATGTGGATGATGTGTCCGGTCTCTTTTTTTCTCTCTCTCTCTTCTGATCGACCGGTGAACCTTTGAAGAGGGGGTGTAAGCACGGCACGGCTCGGCCTGGTAGCTTGACTTTTTCCCCCCTCGACGTGCGACATGCAACATGGTACCTACTAGTACTTGGTAGTCAGCCATCTGCTTTTTCTGTAACGAGTCTGACCAAGTTATGAGAGTTGTTTCGGTAGGTACGAAGACCTGGGGGTTCGGACTTTCGGTCTGCTGCTTGAGGCTAGCGCTCCGTTGGCACATCTTCCACGTTTTGAGGCGCAAACAATTGTACGATGATGATGTGAAGGCGCGCGTGAAATGGGCTCAGAATGATGATGTTCTTTGGGTAGCTTGCGACGCCTCCTGTTGGACCGTAAAGTCTATAGCCAGTGATGTCTTGATTCTACCTTGCACACGGAGTAGTCAACGGATCTAATCCAATCATGGTCACCGAGACCTCTCATCTACGGCCACAGCTCAATCTTCTCCCACCCATTCACCCTCTCCGCACCCTCCGTCTCCTCCCCCTCGGCCTCGGCCCCGACAAACCGGTACAGATACCGTCTCGGGTCCTCCGAGGCGCTCAAGTCCGTCTGATCCACCTCGGTCGGCACAATCACCACGACCCGGAAATTCTCCCTCGCGACCTCGTCCTCCAGGTCCTCGACCTTTTGCCCCAGCTTCAGCGTGTCCGAGGGCGGGTTCGCGGCGCGGGACGTCCCCGGGACCGGGTTCCTGAACGTGCCGCGCATCATGGGCGACAAGTTTCCAAAGTGCGCCGTGACCTCGCGGGCGAAGGACCAGTCCTGTTCCGAGGTGCCGATGACGGTTTTGCCGGAGGGGATGTCTTGTTCGCGGCGGCGTTTGGCGTCTGCTGGGGTGACGGTGCGCATGCGGGCTAGGAGGTGCTCGCGGAGCGCTTTGGCGCCGGAGGAGGAGTCGATGTCCGGGCCGAGGAGGAAGGCTTCGCCGCGGATGCGCCATTGGACTTTTGCGTCGGTCCAGAAGCATGCTTCTACGGGGCCGCCGCCGCCTGATTTCTTGACGTCGTCTTTTTCTCCGTTGGAAGTCAGGAAGTCGGGCACTTTTGCCATGCGGGCGTCGGTTGTTAGGGTCAGGAGATCGGATTCGTAGAGGGGCGGGTTGAGGTCTGCTGTGTTTTTTGGGTTGACTGGGAGGGAGGCCCAGAGGCCGCGGAAGATTACGGTGCGGAGGCGGGGGGTGAGAGAGGAAGAGGATGAGGAGGAGGAGTGGATTGTTGCGAGGTTGAATTCTGGTGAGGCCATGTCGTTTACGTTTTTGAGGAAGGGGGCGCGCCAGGGCGCTGGGCCTGGTGAGGCTTTTGATGTTGATGGGGAGGAGGACATGGTGCGCGATGAGTTTGGTGAGGATTGGAGGTGATGGGTTAGTTGGGATATGCGGCGGGTTGAGAGGGTTCGGATGGTCATGGGTTTGGTGATGGCGATGAATGGAGGTCGAGGGTGATGGATGCGGATTGAGGTAGGTTTGTTTTATGAGTGAAGTTGAGAGGTGAGGAATGTCGTGTGAGGTTTTTTGAGGTTAGGTGGTTTTTTTGGTCTATGATTCATCATTGGGCCACATGGTGAGTCGCGCCAGCCTTCACGTCTGTACTCGATATTGGTATTTTCAATCATTAAAGCACTTTGATGAGACTTTATTGAAGACTTTTTATATGACATATATAGCTAACTTGATCTCGGGTGCTGACAGCAACGAAAGTTATGGGCAGGTTGCGAGCTTTGGCGGGGTCGTTGAGAAATACCCCGCTGTCGTCATGACGTCGATGAGGCCGCGGAAGAGGGCGCAAGTCGACAGACATGCTGTGTTCATTCGTTCGCTTTTTGATTTGTCTGGGTTTTCTGAACCGATGATGAATCCATGAAGAATTCCATGTAAGTTGCCCTCCTCATAGCTGTCATATATTCGATCCAACCCGCCGACCATGGGTGGAACGATGTGTCGTACTTGTCAGGATGCAGTTCAGTCTCCTTCCACGCATCGAATGACTTGTCCGACACTCTGCACGCCCGTTTAAATCGAAGGATTGACGATGCAAACTCCGAGGGGCTGTTACAATGGTGTTTAGTCAAGTAGAGACAGCTGGCACAAATAGCATAGAAATGCAAACGTACTCCGTGAGCGTGAGGTCTTCGACCGATCTCTCTTATGCCCTTCAAAGACATTCATCAACTCCAGGGTTGGAGTATCCTTCGTACTGCAACTTCATCAAATGTATGGTAGCTGCCCCTAAATTAAGCGCGATGGGCCAGATATGGTCTTTGCCATTGTCAGAGGCAGTCAACGGGGCCGTAAGAAGGTAATCCATCACAATATCTCCGCCTCCGGCTTCTGTCTCCTTGATAAATTGACGTACTGCTTGAAGGCGGGGAAATGGTTTCTCTGTCCAAGTCAATGGAGCCATGAGCCCTAAACACGGGGTGCATTGTTAGCTTCCATCAAGTCACAAGAGAAACTTACTATACTTCCAGGGGAGCCCTTTTCACTTACTCGACATAAGAATCCCAGAGATGCGATACAAAGTCTTGCCCTTCTCAGATTGCCACTTACCCTCTACCTTTGGGTACGTGGTAGAGCCCTCGCCCTCGTCGGAGCTATCGTCTGAATTCTTAGCAGGAATGATGTGCCCTTCCTGGCATTTCTGAAGCCTGCGGAGGCTTCTCTTCAGGCTGGCAAGTTCCTCCTCCAACTCGTTGCTTCCTGCGAGATCGCGTGCCAACATCACCATCGCGAGTTCAAAGATAAAGGTTGTCGCCCTAGTAAGGCTGGCTAAGTGGATTTCTTTATCATTAGATGTCTCTTGGGCGTCTGACTCCAAGATTGTGAGCTCGTTATTGTGTTGGTTAGCATTCTTGCTATCATTTGATAACTCCATCTTTTGCAACGTGACGTGGGAAGATGGCGAACATAGGATAGACCTAGATTGAAACACATGGTAATGACGAGCGAGAGAAGTTTAAATATCCATATGAAGGTTCACTGTTCGCTGTTCTTTGTCAAAGAGTCTGGATACCTTTGGTCCATGAATTCTCAGATCACAATAACGCTGTTCATGTCTTTGTTGAAGACATCATCTGACATGGTCCACCTCGCTAGCCCCTCGCGGTTACCAGTGATGCTTTCCTATGTGTTATCGAACCAGACGCTCCATAGCAATCTGACTTGTAGCTGGGTCATGGGCTTTGGCGGGGTTGTCAGGGCGATACCTCGAGCATTCAGTGACCAGAGACCCCGATTGATAGAATACTGAGATATCTACATGTATAATTCAAAGAAACCAAACACCTACTGTATTCAAGGGCCAAGCAGTCAGACGTCTTCTTCATTTAATCGCGTTTGAGGCCTTACAACATCTAAACTCTTTCCAACACGCCATTTAGTCTTATATTTGGCGGCGAGACCAAATTATCTTCAACTTAGACCGCAACGCCATGAGCATAAGTACACGATTGAAATCACTAAAGCCAGATTTCCCCGTCAATTTCTGTCATCAGCCTACGAGAGGGCCGTCTACTATTTAAGCCTCTATCTCGCCCTCGCCGACGTCATGACGCTCGGGTTCGTACAAGTCATGCCCTACCGCGGCGAAAATCTTGCCTACTCTCCCAAAGATTTCCCTAATCGTCCGATCTCGAATGTGCTGTGACTCCTCATCGATGACTTTGGTGCCTTCTTTGTCCTCGCTAGAGAGCGGGTTCGGAGCCGCGTACCACGCGCCGTTCACTATAGCCGCCTCGTGTTCCTTTAGGAGTTTCGCATCTTCCCGCTCAAGCCTCCGAGAGTGTCAGCCAAGTGAAAACATATTTAGCGGCAGAAGACAGATGATAGAGAAATGTCAACATACTTCCCCTCACGAAGCTTATTTAGCATGCGGCTGAGGGCCTTTTCAGAACCTTCATCTTTTATTCGTTTGAACTGCAAAAACTCCAAGGAGATGGTGTATGCTGCTAAGTTTGTCACCCTGATATTGAAGTCTTCGTGGGCAGCATCGGACTCTATAGCCAAAAATCCGTGATTGTATCCCCACTCGCGAGCATCTCGTATCAGTCCATAAATTGTGCTGTCTCCGCCGTTACTCTTTGCCTCCTGCATCAACTCGAGCGTCTCGTTGTCTTTTTCGTCTTCGGCCTTCTCGGTATATTGATCCTTTGCGCTATCATCGGGGCCCTTTCTGTGCCTTTTGAGAAATCGCACCAGTGGCTTAACTTGTTTGAGTTCCCCCGGTCTTTGCTCCATGTTGAGCCCTATGCACGGGGTAAGATGATTAACTTCCATTAATCTTCAAGAAAAACCGTTCAAAGCTCCAGAGGGGCCCTGGTACGTACAGCACATGAGCTCGTATGCAATTCCGCTCAAGACATTGAACCTTGCCGTATGCCACTCATGCGGCAGCTCCGAATGCCCGTCGGAGCATTGATAATCATTGTGACATCTTTTAAGTCTCGCAAGGCTCCCTTCTAGACTCCTTAGCTCTAGATCGTATTCAACGGAGTATTCTATTTTGAGCTCGCGTGCCAAAGTCTTGGTGGTGAGCTCAAAGATGACGATCATTGTTCTCACTACGCGGGATAAAGGACTGATTTGTGTGAGAGATGTCTTTTGAACCGTGGCTCCCTCGAGTGAGAGTAAGCGGTCATACAGTTCCTCGGCATGGAGGTTGGAATGCGACTCCATCTTTGGTGATGCGAGTGACGAAATCAAGATAAGGAGCTAACGAAACATGAAATCGGGATGGCGAGGGAAAACAGGTCAAATACATTTGGGGGCTCACTGTTCTCCTTTGTTGCAGAGTTTAAGTGTTTTTTGGACGATTGATCAAACCACAGTAGTGCTGTTCTAACATCTTTGTTGATCTATGTTCTTCTTCAGATCACAGTGACGCTGTTCGTGTGTCTTTGTTGCTCGACGTTACCTGACATGATCAACCTTAGCAACCCCGGCGGCAAGCAAAAGTACTTTCCCACACGCACAACCAGCTTGGGCCCAGATTCGAACGACAACGCGACTTGCGGCTAGGATGTGAGCTTTGCCGGGAGTAGCCAGGGAGAGACCTCGCTGGCGTCAAGACGCTGGCGAGTTTGAGGCTCAAGCAATGGATAAGTTCTCGTATCTCGTGGGGAAACCTCAACAGCGCAGCCTGGCTCTCTTGACCAAAAGCTGCCGCGTTTGCCACGTTTCTCTAAAGTCCGGTTCAGCTACCTTCACCAGAGGCCCTTTCAGAAAATAATGCACCAAGAATAGGTAGCCTCGACTGTGGTTTCAAACTGGGCATCTGATTGCTTCACCTCAGATGAGTAAGGTATCCTATATATACTATACTATGACATCGACTTTTGCATTAATTCATCAAGTCACCGAGGTCCATTGGACTTGGACTGCGAAATCTGTGCCGACAGTTGTCCCGACGCCATTATAAACAGTTCAAGATCTTGCTTACTTGAATCGACCCTTGAAGCGGCGAACTCTGCCCGCCCCAGTGACGTTCCCATTGAATCTGAACTACTTGGATTGTTCTCTCTCTCACGAAGAGCGGATAACTTTTGGATGGATTTACGCAGCATTTCTGGCGTTATTTCGGGAGCCTCTGCGTCTTCCTCCTCCTCTTCTTCATGGTTAGAAAGTCTGGAGACTGATCAGACAAGTGTGAACACATGTATGAATGATATACGGGAGACATGAAAACGGAAACCCACCCATTCTCACGAACTTGAAATAGCGCCTTTCCCACTACCTCTGCGAGAACTTTTGGGTCAAACTTTTCCTGCGGTATCATCCGACCCTCTTGTTGCATTAGAGACAGTTGCCCTCTTTCGATCGTGTTGAGAGCACGGTTGGTGGCCGTCTTCTCAGAAGGGGGGTGCAGCTGTATCAAAGATGCAGCGTTGTCAGCCAAGCTTCGGATGATATGATTGATTTCATCTTTGCGACCCTTGAGTGGGATGATTGTGGACTCTCTATCTCCGTCTTCATATCCATCTTCTGCCCGTTGGAGCCATGTATGCAAATTCTCAGTCTTGGTCTTAAGAGAGTCTGGAAGTGGCCTTTTTACCCAGAGTGACCAAAGAGACGGAGATATAAGCCCTGTAAATGGGATTAACTGGTAAGCTTCTGTCGATATATTACAAAAGACACTATGTAGGCGATTCACGCACGACTACTTACTTGAAATAAGAATCGTCATCGTACTTAAGATCTTGAGCGTTTTGCATCGCCCCTCGCTAGATTTCTCTAAAATAAGTCGACCCACCCCCTTTTAGCCACCCCCCCCTTTTAGCTACCCTATTAAAACATAGTATTAAAACATCGCTACTAACTATACTTAATTAATTAATTATTTTTTATTATTATTATAATATAGTTATTATTCTCCTTAAGTAATTCGACTTTTATAAATTAATTAAAACTAACTAAATAGTTATTAAAGTCCTCTTAAGCTCTTTATATATCCTAAATATTTATAAACTTAGTATTTAAGTTTATTAATATATTTTTCTTTTTTTACAACTTTAATTAGTTAATTTTAGCTTTTAAAACTCGAATATAGTATTAAAATATTACTAAATAATAGGCTTACTTACTAAATACTTTTTTTATTTTTTTAAATAATAGTCGTTAAGTATTATAATCTAAACTAAGTTTTATAAATAACTTTAATTAATTATAAAGCTCGCTAGCCTTTTTAAGTATTAACTAATTAATAATAAACGCTATTAATACCTAGTTAATAGCTTTTTTAATATTACTAATTACTTACTTAGTATTTATAATCTTTTTAATTAGTATAACTAAGTTAAGTAGGACTATTAAATTAGTAAGTAGTCTAGTTATATTAAGGAAATATAGTCTAATTACTTTTTATTTACTTCGTATATTTAATAATATTAAACTAGCTAAATAAGCTTTTTAGTAATAGCTTAAGAAGTACTGCTTTTTAATAATAATAAAATTATTTTTTATATCCTCTTTACTAAGCTCCTTCTTATACTTAAACTTAATAAGTTTAAAAATAACTATATTTAATAATTAGAAAATATAAAAAGTATATAGTAATAAGAATAGTAAATAAACGTTATTTTTATAGCATTCTTATATAAATTTTATTATTATATAACTCTTATAACTATTTAAAACTAATAATCGAGGCTTATTAAATATACTAAGCCCCCTAAAGAGGAGGGTCTTAGTTTATAATAAAAATACTATTTTTAACTATTTAAAAGTAGTTTTATTAATTGTCTAGCTATTATTTATTATTATAAACTCCTAATTAGTATAAAAATTAAGTTTAAATAGAAATTATTATTATTATATTAACTTTTTTTTATATATAATTAGTAATTTAATAACTTAATTATTAATAAAAATATATTTAATTATAAATACCTAAATATGCGAACTAAGCTCTTTTTTTTATATTATTATAGTTTTTATTTTATTTAAAACTAAATTATTAAATCCCTTATTCTCTAAAATACTAATCTTATTTATATTATATTTATTAACTTATTTAATATTACTAATTCTTAATATATTAAATAATCTAAACTATAACTTAATTATATTAATAATAGCCCTATTTAAATACTTCGAATTAATAATATAACTTCTCTAAACTTTAATTAATAAGTTCTTTTTTAAAAAAACGTTTATTTTTTTTTAAAAAAAAAATTTATATCCTTTTAAAATCTTAGAACTTATTTAGTAAATTCTCTAAGTTATTTATAAGTTAATATAATATTTAAATTATATTAAATACGAACTTATTAAGCTAATTAATTTTCTTATTATAAAAAAAGCTTTTAAAAATTTATAAATATTATTACCCTTGTTTAATAACCTCTCTTATAATTATAAAAAATTAATTTTAAAACTCCGAACTTAATTAAGGCCTAATTAACTAAGAGACCTTTTTTAATAGTTTTAAAAGCCTAAATAATTTTATTTTTAATATATAAAACTATTATATATTAATAAATAAGTATATAAAAAAGAATTATATTTAGACGATTTTTATAATTATTATAGTAGTTTAAAAATCGTAAGTAGGGTTTTAATACGGTAGCTGGGATAGAGAAATGGGGTGGCCAAAAGGGGGGGGTGGCTAAAAGGGGGTAGGTCGACTTAGCACGCAGACCCTGACTGCCATTATAATAAAGGTTCATCCAGAGCTTGAGTTAATTGTGAATCTGCCGAATATCATGCTGCTGGATACAGAAGTCTGACTCTGGCTCGCAAGGCAAGGTGTTCGTAGTGTCTTTCAAGATAGCGATAATTTGTGCCGTAAACAATGTCACCTGAAGTGGTCCTCTAGGGCCTTCCCCTAAGCACGTTAAGTCTTTTCTTGTGCTTATTTTCACCTTATTTTGTGGCTCCATCTTTCCGGTTGGCAATGTGAGAGGGTTACGCAGATCGAAAGAGCTGAAGAACAGGAGAACGATGTATTAGAGCAGATTAAGTATGTTTGAACAGGTCCACCGGCATCCTCCTGATATATCTGCCGATAAGTCAACTTCAAATCACAGGCCCGTTGTTCATGTATCTTTGTTCAGCCGTATAACCTGCCTTGGTATGCTTCGTTAGCCCGCAGCGTCATATACCGAAACAGAGAACAAAGCCTTAGTCTATGACCTTGTTCATTCATTCACCGTGAACGTATATGGAAAATAATAGAAATTTATCGATAGACGAGCAGATGTAAGGCCCCAGATCTTCCAGAGACTCTAGCACAGCAGAGACCGCTATTATCGTGCGCAGGAAGATGCAGGATAGTATACCTAGACCACACTGCTTTCTTGTATCGTGAAGTCATGTTACCATTTGGTTCTGGGGCATTAAAGTGATTGAGAAAGTTACGCAGAGGAACACGATATAAGTAGTGAGATAAGAGCATCGGGAACTTGAAGTTTGTAGTATCATGGATCCTAGGCATTCTGCTTTTACTTGATTCTACGGAGAATCAAGTCAGCTCAGGCTCAGAAACATTCATATTACGACATTGAAATGGCGAAGTAGCATATCCCGGCTCTCGTCTACATGCGTACTACCCTACAGCCCACCTCAACTTTTGTGCAAGCAACATCTCTTATTTGGTGCAGCAACGAGTAGACAGAGTGTGTGTTCATAGTATAATTTGGGCAAAAGCCGAGCTGGTTCTTTGGTATCAGTGTCTCGCCTCACTTCAAATTACTAGAAGAAAATCCTCCAACTGCTATAGCAGCAGTTACCACTCATCTCTCTTCACTCCCTCCTTCTAAACATTAGTCCCTTGACTTCTAGAAAATATCATAATTTGGAGGACGTATCATTGCATTGATCAATCTTTGAAACGGCTCCTATTCCCCCTCCCATGTGATGTAGACGGATTGAAGCTCCCGCTCTCAGCCGCGTATATCTGGCGGGCAAATTCGACGTTGAAACCCCGGCAAAGTGTCTCTTGAACGAGACACAGATTAGTTATCGGGCAGCTTCAACTTCAATTTCATTTGATCATGGGGAAAGGTTTCCTCAGACCATGGACGACCCCTGAAGTCAGGGCGATTAGAAAGAATACTCTTCATACTGACGTAGAATTCTTGGGTCGAGATGCTGTGAGAATATTAATTTAGTAAACAACAGCGTGTTAACGGAGAGGACATGAAATTTGTGCCTTACATATCAAATTCATAATTTTGCAGTAGATGGAGAAACTCGTCTTCAAAATTAGGCCCCTGGCGCATAACTTCCCCAAGATAGTCTGCGACTTCTTCAAGAGTGACTGGCCCTTCTCGTGTCATCTCAAAGATTTGGGTATCATCTGGATGAGTAGGAGGACACTCTACAACCATGATCCCTGCGGCTGAGTTGATTTCCTCGGCATCACTACCAGCAACTTTATCTTGCTGACTGGTGTTCGATGGCTGGCTTTCTGTGTCCGAATCAGGGTTTGAAGGGAGAGCCGCAAGAGAGATCTCTTCAAGATGACCTCCGAGGTGACTTAGAATAGCAGTCTTGCCACAACCGGTGTCTTTCCGGCATAGCGGACACTCGGATTCTTTCCACTCGGGCCCAAAGTGGTCGAGAGCGAGGTGTGAGACCCAATCTTCACGAGTGCCGAAGACACCCAGATGCCCACACGAGGGTTCTAGGCATTGCCAAGGCATCAAGTCGTTGTACAAGTGCCGTTTCCATGCAGACTTATTTTCCACAGCAGTCGCTCTACCGCACGCCATGCAGAGAAACCCACCCCTGGAGCTCCTGGGTAGAGGCGGCAAGCGTACTGAGGTCCCTTCACCGCCGTGGTATGACATGATTGTCTCGGCGTAAGATGAAGGAATAGATGATCCAAGGCCTGAATCTGTGAACTTAGAGCTCGTAGGTTCCAAACCCTTGATCTCACTCGGATGCATCAGCCGAGGTCCCTTTGGATCCTCACACCATGCCCAAAAATTCTTGTCCCTTTGCTCTTTGCCTCTCAAGAATCGCTCATAATTGGCCTTCCCGAGACTGGTGACGAGCTCCTCATTCGCTTTGGGAAATTGCTTGCCTATGAGTTGTCTGTAAGGTTCGTGCGGTTTCCACTTGTGCCAAGACGAGTCAAGGGGTTGCCTCGCGTGTTCAATATCAAAGATGGGTTCAGAGAATAAGCTATCGAGGTCCATCAAACTTCTGGTGTCTGCTTCAAGATCTGCGGTAATTTGCGCGATATCGTCATCATCATACTCTGATGATCCAGTCGAAGATTCACTCTTTGAAAGGTCGTCTTCGGCTTCTTGTATCAGTTGCCGTAAGTTTTCCACCTTGTTCGTAAAGCTTTCTGAAAGTTGTGTCTTTCCTAAAAGGCCTGTCGCCCAAGTTGATGCTACGAGCCCTAAATATTGGACAACGACAATTAGCTTCGGTGCAACTTCGATTTGAAATATTACTCGGCGAACTTCAGACTTACTTTCAGTGAGAGTCGACCCTATACTGCATAGAATCTCAAGCGTTGCACCTCGTAACCGACAAGATCGATCGAAGATTTCATCGGAGGCTGCGCTGGAAATCCCATATCCGTCTGACCAGAGCTGAAGTCTGTCGGAGCTTCTTCTAAGACTAACAGAGTATGATCGTGATTCTGAAATTCCATTAAATCTGTCGATCAGATATTTGTTGATGTCCTGAAACACGGCGACCGTTCCTTCAGTCAGGCGTGCAACAAGGCTAGCACCCACATGTGGTGTTTCTCCGGCCGCCGCATTTAGGAACAACCGGATGAGATAGCTCGTGTCAACGTTTCCTTCTTTCTTGAGATTCAAAGAATCCATTTTCTTCATCGACAGACGTGGTTGTGGATAAGGCAGTGACGGCGAAAGTGCGAGCGGGGTAACAATATGTTCCAACATAATCGCCAGCCTGCCTCCTTGAGGCGCAATGGTGCTTTAACCAATGAGCTGACGCCTTTTGCCGCCTGTTATGCCAGACCTGGTGTCAACAGCCTGATCTTTGCATTTTGAGGTGGTAGAAAAGAACACATTCCTAGGATAGAATCATGAACTGGAAGATCTGAAACGGATGTGCAAATGGATCCATTCTCTCTGACTTTGGGCCTCTTGCCGTTGGTCGGCGGAGCAATCAAGGCATGCTCTGTTGTCCGCAAGAAATTCAAGACGTTTCGACACTACTCGAGAGAAGTCCGGCGCATCCAAAAGCAAGTTGACCGTCAACTGAACTTCTTTACGAATGAGATACACCTGCTGCTTAGACGAACTGTTGAGAATGAAGAGACGATCGCCTCAATGCTTGAGAATGAGAACACTCAACAATGGCATAGCTCTCAGATTGAGGAAGAGATGAGAAAAGCACTCGATAAGGATTATGATGTCTGCCAGGGCGGGATTGAAGACATCGTCGGCGCGGCGCAAAGCTTTCAGGACGACTTCCGCTGCTTCGACGGACTCACGGCAGAGTGCCGACAGGCAAGTGGAACATGGCATACGAGAATGATAGAAGAGAGAACTGACATGCCATCACAATTCTAGGGTGAAAGTCTCAAAGATGCTGTGCGTCGGCTTCGCGGACGGGTGAAAATCTCACTGGACGAATCCAGGTTCGAGAAACATATCCAAGATCTGCGAGCGTCCATCGACGACCTCAAACGTATCCGAGAGCAGAGGAGTGAGCTGAGACGGAATAAGAATGAGCTCATAGCAACGAAGCAACCTCCTGGGAAACTAAGCCAAGAATACGGGCATATCGGTCAAGTCAGGAGAGCGTCGAAAGCCTTCCACGAAGCCCTTGCCGAAGCTTGGTCTACCTCGAGTACTTCCACCGAGGTACTCGGCATGCGCCATACTGTTCGACTGTTTCTGGATACCACGGTCAAAGACGATGTTCAGATGCATGTTGCTATATCCTGCATGGGCCATGAGCTTACTGATAGGTGAGCGTTCCTAGTGCTTATACCTTCCGGGTAGTATGCTGAAGATCATAGAACGGTGGTACAGGAAAGACTTGCTAGAATTCTAGTGCGATCACAGATACGGACGTGGATTGCTGAAACCGACAACTCTACGTCAGGCGTACCTGATCCAGACGAAAGACCCCGGCAGAAACGAAGAAAGGTCCGCTTTTCGGAAGACGTGCGAGAAGAGGCCGGCAAAGAAGATGATGAGTTTGACGCAACGAGGGGCGTGAACCATCGCCAGGGCTCATCAGTCAACTTGTGCTCAAAGGGTCTATGCCCAGCCTTGAATAGCGTCTTCAACTTTGCCTCAGAAGGGGTTTGTAGCGATCAATGCCTAAGGTAGGGTACATTGACAGCTCATCGCAAGATCCATTCCGGCATTCGATTTACCCTGGATCTGTGGACAATCACAACCACATCATGACCACATCTCAAGCTCTGATGTCAATGAACGACGTGTTGATGACTCCTGCCGAGACCACGCTTTCCATTATCGACCAACTAAAGCTGGCTCGTGACATGGTGAGCGCGGTTCTCAAATTTTACTCCACGCCGTGGCTGAGAGAGTACTTCACCCTACGGGACCTCTCCTTCTTTCAGATGAGCGGGGACTTTTCGAGGTGCCTTCGGACCCTCCATCTAGGCTTCGACTTTGTCCAGTCATCCGCTGCAAGCCTACCACGAAGCATGGAGGGAATAGAGGCGACGGCCGTGCAGGACAGCAGCGACGGCAGCCCTAACGAAGTAGAGAGCGCTGCCGAGCGCGCAAAGTTGGAGTACGGTATACGCAACCTGACGCTTTGGAGTCTCGGTATCACTCTGCTTCAGATCGGACGGTGGTCTAGCCTAGAGGCCCCGGAAGACGTTCTCAGCGTTCGGAGGCTGTCGCGGCAGGTCCCTACTTTGGGTCCGAAGTACAGGGACCTCACCAGGAAATGTCTGGAGTGTGACTTTGGATTCGGTGACGACTTGTTGAAGCCGCGCTTGCAGCAGGCTGTATACGAGAGCGTGGTTTGCGAGTTGAGCGATATGATCAAGACACTGGATGTCAGCGATGATTGAAGATGTTGGACAGCTTCCTGAGGGAATTGACGTTTGGGCTGCGACCGGGTAGGACAAGTCATACCCGCAGTCCACAACCTTCAAGACCACGGGAAGACGTCATTACATTGTTTCACGGTATTGTTGTCTTCCTCAACCTCAAGAAATGTTCAGGAATGTTTCTTGATGACGTCGCGTCCTCCCTTCTCATGAAGCTGCTTTGCAGAGACCACCAGGTCCGGTGATGAAAAGATTCGAGTCAATATGGAAGTTATGACTTGACAAACTCTTGTTCTCCCAAGGGCCTCCAAAGTACCCATAAGAGACTAAAAGAGGACTAAGCTGTCTCGAGGTGAGATCTCCCCAACAAGCCGGTCCTCGAAGTTGAACCTATCTCGCGCAGTACAACTTTCGTTCGCACCGTGAGCGGTCCACAGGGTCCCGGGAGACTTCTATTCTTTGATGACATGGCTCAAGTTCCCAGCTATTCTGAACTCATAAGACACAGACCCATTCACAAGCGCATCGTAATATATTCTCTTTCCATCCTCCACGTAGGCTATGCGACGATCCTTCCGAGACGGGAGCCGACAAGAGTGTCCGTCAAGTAAACAAATACGTGGCAACAGTAGGCACATGATGTGAAAACAAAACGGGAACATACCAATAGCTACTACTACGAACTCTGCTACCTTCAGTCCTTTGCGAGAAGTCTTTACTTTCGGCGTCCGAGGCACCTCCGAAAGAATGACACCGGATGCTGCTTTTCCCCGACCGTGTCGGCGGGCAGAATCGTTTTCAACTTCCACAACCCCTCCAAATAGCCAATATCCCTGACTATACTTTCATAGATTTGACCAAACTCATTCAGTACCGCCTTGACCCAGACCTCCTTCCACTCGCTGCCTTGCTTCTCTATCAACTTTGCAATAACCTGGTTGACAGTGTCATCCAGCGCAGTGTCATTCAGTGTAATCCAATGCTTCACGGCTGGGTCGTCTGCAAGTTCCGTAATCTTAGGACGGACATCTTCGTTCGTCACAGTCCAGTGTAGCGGTACCAAAGCTCCGCAGTCTGGATCGCAGTAGGCACCTTTGGTCCTGTCCATCTCTTCACGCAGTTCCCTGACCTTGGTGATGAGATAGTCATAAGGCCTCTGCTGTGCCCACACAGCCCAAAGTGACGGATCCGCGAGTCCTATGTATGAGGATGAGATGGTAAGCTTCATGTTCTTTTCGAGTCAATAGGCAACTCCTGGAGTGTTCCGGCAGCTGCATGACCACTTACTCGAACAAAGAACTCTTGCAATGCTGTTCAATTTCCGAAGCGTAAGGCATCGCAGCTTTTTATATATCTCTAAATAGCTATCCCAGTATCCATTAGGAACCTTGTAGTCGTTCGACCATCTTTTGAGTCTTTTGTAAGCTTGTCCTAAGTCGTGCTCCTCATAGAAGAAGTCGAGTGTTCGACCGCGAAGATGGTAGTCAATTGTTTGGAAGACAATAAGCATTTTTTCCACCAAGGGTGCCACACGAACCGGTTCCATAAAGTTTTTCTCCGTCGTTGCTGCGCAATTGGTGTTGTTTGAAGTAAGCGCTTTGCTAGTACGCGGTGGCGCCATCTTTGGCAGCGCGAGAAGTTGATGAGGGTTAGGAAACAGCTGGGAAATTGCGAACAAGACCGAAATATATGTTCAAGTTTGTAAATGGACAGGTCTGCCGGGATTCTTTGTTTAAGCACCTCAGACTTTGTCCACCTCGATGATTCCTGAAATCGATATAACGCTGTTCATGAGTCTTTGTTGGTCTATATAACCTGCCATGGCTAACCTTGTCCACTTGGACGTGGTAAGGGGATGAACAGTCCCGTCGCTTCATTCTTCAAGAGGACAAAGGAGCCTCGAAATGAGAGATCGGTCATGCAAATGCCTGCGGACTAGAAGACGGCCCAGCCAAATCCTGGTCAGGGGTCATGTTGAAAATCAATCAAGCCTCTCCAAGTCGCGGAGATTTCAATCTTGGGAGCGCATAGTGGCACAAAATTAAGATGGAAGACGCGGCGTTGTTCTTACATTCATTCATCTATTCTCAATTCATAGGGCCGCACATAAGTCTGTTGCTGGGAAGGTAGATTACAATGGAACTCCAAGTCCTAATCCAGCCCCGGCAACCACCCATGGGTATCCAATGAATTCAACCCTTCAAAATTAGGACTCGCCGTATCCTCAGACGACTGCCTCGGCGGCTGCGGCTGCGATTGCGGAGGCGGCGCCTGCATACCCCCATTCCCGCTCGAAAACATAAACATCTGATCGCTCGCCGGCATCCCGCCTCCGCCTCCGCCGCCGGGCTGCGATGTCGCCATATTCCACGCTTCAAAGTTCTGGTGCCACTTTGCGCCGTCGTTGAGGAACCAGTCCTGATCCAGGCCCTGGAAGACTTGGCCGGGTGATGGTTGTTGCTGGCGCGCGCTGGCGGGTCCGGCGCGGGAAGTCTGTGATGGCGCGAGGTTGTTGTTCATTGGTGTGAAACGTTGTTGTTGTTGGTACGTTGGTATTGACTGGGTGAGGCCGGGTTGGGACCAGCCGCCTAGAGAGTTTGGCCCCATGCCCATCCCGTTGTGAGATTGATGAGACGGTGGTCTCGCGCCGCTGATCTGTGCCAGAGACGCGCTCGCCATCAACAGGTCCGTCGGACTAGGCGCCACATCCTGCTCGCCAGTCTGCGGTTGCGCGAACTGGTTAAGCGGGCTATACTGATCCGGCTTCCCCATCACCGGCGAAACAGGACCCTGCGTGGGCGAAGGCGACGACGCAACAGTGAGATTCGACCTCGGCGACGGCACGTCAGAGGTACTAAACGTGCCGTACGTCTCGTCCGTCCTCCGCAGCACGGCCTCCGCCTCCTCGGGCAACTCGACGTTCCACTTCCGTGCCAGCACGCTGATGATGCTTAGCGTGCGGCGCGCGCAGAGCCAGTCTTCGGCGATTTCCTCGAGGTGCTTCACGCCGTGGATGATGTCGCGCTTGGCTGTCTTCTCGGGGAGGTTGAGCATGTGGATTGTGCAGGCGCTGTGGACCATGTAGACGGCGATGTTGCAGATTTGCCGGAGGTTCCAATTTTTTTTGTAGAGGCGCATGAGTTTGGAGATTGCGCCGGCGTTGGCTGTGCAGATGCGGCGTGGGGAGACGTGGGATGGGAGGGGGGAGGCTGCGGGTGTGTATTTCAGGAAAGGGCGGAAGAGGTGAATGTATTGGAGGTGGAAGAACATGCTGGGATGATGTTAGTATCGTGAGTTTGTTGAAGGGTGTGGTGGTGGGCTTACTGTACGAGGATTACGTTAGGGAGTTGTCCTTCCTTTGGTTCCAGTTCGTTTGGTAGTTCCTTTCGCCAGTCCTCCAGCCTCCGGTGAAGCTCGCTCAGCTTCTTGAGTTCCACCGATTTCCCACTCGAGCGGCCAATGTGATTTGGATGATAAAAGAATAAAAGTAAATCGCTGCTTATCTCACAAAGCTTCGAGAGTTGTAACCCCACGGCTCGCGTCCTCGACGGCTGACTGCACGTCTGATCGAACCCCGTATCCGTATAAGGCGCCCATAATTCCGCATCCTCAGAGGGAAAGACGTCGTACTTGGGCACGTTGTACGAGTTCTTGGGTATCTGCGGCAGGCGACCCAGATAGTTCGACCACGCCTTATCGAAGAGGAAGCACCCCCAAAACGTCATTCGCCTTGCGTCGACGGCGTGCTCGCCGAGATTCTCCTTGTCATTGGACATGCCGCCGTCGTCAAAGTTGAGGCCAATATCCTGGGCCATGCGGAAAGCCATGCCCGAGTACACCCAACCCTTTGCTTCCCGCCCGCAGCCGGCCTCCCGGACGGACATGAGCGCCAGAGCCTGGACGGTCGTGAGCTTGGGCCGTTCGTACTCGTCATTCTCGACAATCAGACGCTTCGCCTCGGCAAAGAAATGGTCGCCCTTTGTACGGCTGTCCCCCGGCGTCCCGTACGCTCCCGGCACACTGGTGAAGTGGCACCCGAGGGATAGCATGGCGTTGACTAGGAGTGGTGAGCAGTAGATGGTGCCTTTGTAGTTTAGTCCGTGCTTCCCCTTGAAGAAGTCACGGTAGAATAGTGTTTTTGATAGCGTCGTAAAATACGTGTAGTGCCAGTTGAAGTACATGTTCATGAGGTGGGCGATGAGTTCCTTATCTTGCGTAACTCTGGTCCAGCTGGTGACGGGGTCCTCATTGGTGAGATTCGCGTCGGATTCGGGTTCGTTTGTGTTGGCGTCGCCTGAGTCGCCGAGATAGATGAGATGTGATGTGCCTCCGATGAAGCGTACTGAGCCGTTCTCGAGGCGCAGTTCGCCCATCTTGCGAGCGAGTTCCCTCTCACCCTCGATGGGCATGTCAATCGTGTATCCGTCGTCTCCATTGTCGTTATCCTCGGCTTCCTGGAGCATAGTCTCATGTTTCAAGATCTGCTCAGCGACAGTGTCAAGGCTGTCGCAGGTCCTGATCCTCTTCACAATGTCGGGGACCTCATCCTCGTTTGCGTTGAGAATGGCCTCGATGAGAATCTGCAGTGTCGAGTTGCGCGCCTTCATGCTATCGACCTTTTCCTTGTAGACGCCCTTGCGGCGGTGGTCCGAGTTTGGGTCATAGACGCACTCGGTGCCGTAAACGCTGGCGCACGCAGCGCAGCTGGGCACGGCTCCGTCGCATTTCGATTTCCTCCGGCGGCAGGCGATACATGCGGTGCTCACGCAGCGCCGCTTCTGTGACGCCGAGTCGGCTCCTCTGCGCGACGACTTCTTCTTGGCCGCCGGTGGTGGTTGTGGTGCGGACGACGATGATGAAGAAGGCTGTTCCGGGGGATTGGTCAGGGAGCCGCCGGATGTAGACGACAAAAGGAGATCCTGATCGTCCATCTTTCTTTCCAAGACACGTCTCTGGCTGCCGAGTTCCGAACTAATGAGATGAAGTTGACGCACCGGAAGTGGTGAGGTGAGCGACCGGAG